AAAAATGGCTGACTTTTAAAATTGAAAATCTTGCAATTGTTGTCTTATAAATGTGAACCTTCAAGTTGGGATATATGTAAGGCTAATACAGTCTCTGAAGTGTATTCATAATTTCAAAAGACAAGTGGAATTTTTGTAATTCAATTAAAACTTATCCACATTAACATATACTTACAGTCTCTGAAGTGTATTCATAATTTTAAAAGACAAAGTGGAATTTTTGTAATTCAATTAAAACTTATCCACATCAACATATACTTAATTCTGATTTCATATCCTGAAAAACAATAAAGAAGAGTGCAAACATAAAATGCACTTACAGTGCAAAGGAAATTTGCGATTTGAACTTTATTTGCTTCATCTACTTCTTCATTGGCAGCATCACAAAGCTGTTGCACCTTGGCAGAGTCAAGCCCTATGATACTGACCATGGCACTTTTGGCAGCATCGGCAGCATCCTGATGATGGCATAAGAATATCGCTGTTTGAAGGAGTCAATATATACATTGGCCCACTATTCTACATGAAAATGTTGGTACATTGTCGATGTTACCTGCATTGCTTCACCCCTTAACTTGACTAGCTTCAGCCCATCATCAAAGCTGCATGTTCAAAAACAAAACCATCAAAGACAATATAACAATTCGAGTGACTTATATTTGAAGCCACTAGATATTAGTTAATATTACAATTCGAAACACATACATTCTACTCAGTGTTGCAGTTTACCTGAAAGCCCCGGCAAATGCAAGAGCAGTGTATTCTCCTAAGCTTAGACCACATGTTACGTCAACCGAATCAATTATTTGCTGACCTCCATCACGAGCTCGGAGCACCTCAATTGCGGCTAAACTTGTCACATAGATAGCTGGCTGGCAAAATGGATTCAAATAATGTACTTAAAATATTACAAAATTTTACATCTGAAGTATTGGCAATCACTTATGATTGTGTCTCTATGTGTGGATGGAGTGGCAGTTTTGTAAATGAGAGGTAAGAAAAGTGTGTCTTATAATCTGCCAGAAAGAGATGGCTTTCTGTGAGATAATGTCTTTCAATGATTTTCTAAATCAATGAAACATACTCCATTGTTTCTGCTATTTTAGAAGCCACCATATAGCAGCCACCATTTCCGACAACTTTCCAATAAATGTGAGTGACACAATCAATTAAAGTCAAGGATCATAATTTTTAATTTCAGCATAAGTGGGCTTAGCATCCCCTCATCACCAACTACAGATATATACTTCCCCATGCATTCACTAGTAGTACAAAAATTTACAAATACCGATACATCACATCAAATTCCTCTTCCCCCATCACCCTGGAAAAACTTCTCATACATTAATTAAACTAACATACCCTATATGTTCTACTGAATTAGAGTAGCTTATCCTCAATGATGTTCTACAGTAAAAGTGTATCGCGACATATAAAATGATACATTACCTGACTTAGAACAGTGGAATCAAGCTTCTCTTTTGGCCCATTAATGCATATATCCAAAAGGTCAAACCTTCATGTCATATAACAAAAGTACTTAGATATTAGTCACCTGATGATGTGAAAAGAAAATTTGAGATAAACTATCCGTGGAACAAACTAAAATGTAAGGGAGAAAGGCACAATCGAGTGAAAACCAAACATTTAAAATGCACAAGCACAAGCTGGAAATCCAAGTTGGCCGCACGAAACCAATACTAGGCATATCTAGTCATAAGTCTAATAATTAAATTGATTACCGAATACCGACTAGGCGACTACTTAATTTTCATACGTAGACATTGTCCTGATGATATGCTGGCTAAAGAAAGAAAACCCATTGAGATCAAATTTTGCATCAAATTCACTGCCATGGGACGTGCCGAAGACAGGCATCTTTATACATTTATTAGGTGAGCACGGGCAGAAGTAATTTCATTTCATATAGCGAATTCAGAAAAGAAAAAGAATGGTTAGCATACCCTAGAATGTCATTGGCTCTCTTGTATAATTCAGCTGCAGCAGGCACTTTCTGAGCTTCCACCCCCATACCAACAGCCTGTGCACCCTGCAAAAAGGAAGCACAAATAAAATACATAACAATGAGTCGATCAGAATCATACCATGTCATTTCATTTCTCGTCTGCCAATAGAAAAGGTCATTACTAATGCTTGCAAAAAGTTAACACGGATATAGCACAGTGATCAAACTCGTCCTTTTCCATGGATGCACTCAGTCAAAAGGGTCTCAGGAAAGCCTTATATCAAAGTCTCGAAAGCCCATCGACTCAAACAGGTCCAAACAATTGTTCAACAATCTCTAATAATTTATCTTTTAAGTTTTAGCTTACCCCCAATTATTTATTTTTTCAGGTATAAGAATGCTCAGTGCCGAGCAGAAATCGAGCAACTCAACCAGCAACATTCAATAGTTCAATTCAGAAAAGCAAAAAAACGTAATAAAACAAAATCTTGCCCGAAAAACCAGAAAAACACAGAAGCTAAAAACTGACCTGACCAGGAAAGAGGAAAGCAGAAGAAGGCTTGTAGTCCTTGAACAACGCATCATCAACAGCAATCGTCGCACTCGATCCGACAGCTGCGCTCATGAAAACCCTAGACTTCTCCAAATTCAAACCGGAAACCCTTCGGATCTCGTTCTTGAAACCCAAGCACCTGGAGCTCCTGAAGGATTCTGAAGCGCCAAACGCGGCTTTGGCGAGCGAAATCGAAGGCACCGCGATTGTGGAAGCCATTGCCGTGGAGAGAGTTGAGAATATCCCCGCAGATGGATTTGAATCGAATGTTGATGGCTCCTAGTGGAGACTTAGTGCATGCGATGGATAGATGGCGTCTATGGCGGATTTAACGAAGAGTTGATCGTAGAAGTGTGGTGTAGCTGTGTGTGTTCGGCCAACGGCTATTGCTAATATACTATTGTACACGAGAACAATATTAAATTAATAATATTATAAATAGACTCCGAGTTTGACTGTTTGAGTTATTCAATGACGAAAGTGGAAACTAGTATGGATCCGAAGAAAAAAAAATAATTATAAATTAAAGAGGAGGATAAATAATACTTAATAATTATAAATTAAAGATTAGGGGTCAAACAATATAAAATTATTTTGTATAAGAAAATATAAAAAAATTTGATTACACACCATTTCAAAATTATTATTTTACTTTTTTGTATGGTTAGCTTATAATATTTGTAAAAATATTAGAAATTAGACCGATGAAAATTAGCTTTTTAAAGTAGATAATGGATTTCCAGTAGTAATTATGAATCGGTTTCTATTTTATTTTATTTTTTCAAATCTCTATAGATAAGGGATGAGACGTGAGACTTATGCAATGAGATTTTGTAACAAAAGCTCGTGTAGATTTATACTAAAAATAGAAAAAAGAAAAACAAATATTTATTGTCAAACGACGGTTTTGATAAAAATAAAAAACAGAAAAAAAAAAAGAAACAAATCTTTACACAATTAATAAGCCGATTTTTTTGCCTATTCAGATTTGTCAACAATTACTATATGTAGGATATATTTAATGATTTTGGTAAGAAAATGTTTCTAAATTTGTAACAAGGTTATTCTTTTTATATAATGATAGGTTTATTAGGTTACAGAATTTATTAGGCCAACTAAAATAACAGTCTGGTTGATGATAGGGAGATTTTACATTACAGAACCATTCCGTCGAGATTGGTAACCGTTAGATCAACTATCCACGACGGTTACATGATGATCTAACGGTTATAAATCCCAACAGAATGGTTCCTAACGAGATTGTAACATTTTCCTAACAATTTTACATCGATTTGAAGAACTGATGTGGTAAATAAATAGTGAATGATTTCAAAGGTGTATTTTCCAATAGACATAAGTGTAATAAATTGTAATGTATTTAATTTAAATTTTTTTAAACTTTTAATAGTATGAAGGTTTTCAGATTTTAAAAAGTATTACAAAATCAATCCTTAAATATTTAATTTATTTAATAATATAATTTGTTAAGATTTTTTAAGATTTGTTGAGATTTCAAAAGAAATCATACTTTTAAATATCAACCCCAAACTAAAGATTTCATAGTATTCTACTTAAATCTCAAAATCTTAAAAGTCTCCAATCTCAAAAAATATTAAAATATCACTCAAAATTCCAAACGAATACCCATCTCTTAAACCTAGGGGATTTTAAGTTCATAGATAGAATTTGTAAAAAATTTGTAACAATGGTAAATGAATTTTTGAGGTCACGATTAGGGGTTTTATAAGTCTGATGGGGAAGAACGGTCATATGGCCAAGTGAATTCGACCATTGGATGGCACGCGAATCAAGGGTGTAGAATTTATGAGCGGCAATTTGATAAGACATTCCCACATGGATTTAGGCATGTCGAAATCTTGCGATCCTGCGCAAATAAGATGTTTCTAGCATCTCACATTCTCCCAGGATGTCTGATGATACATTCAATGTAAAAAACAGATAAGATCCAACGGCACAAAAAAGGACTTGAATGTAAAAAACAGATCAGATCCAACGGCACAAAAAAGGACAATTTTGGCACAAGTCTTGATAGCTTGTTCAGGGGGATGGGGGTGAGATAGATGATTTAGCATCCAGAATAGCTCGGCGGACTGGCCAGAGTGTGGCTTGGGATATGTCCAGTTTGTTAAAAAAAAGATAACTCAGTCGGGGAGCTCCCAGATGCAATTCAAGGTATTGATCGACCTGTTAAAGACGATCTGGAGGTAACGATCTCCAGGAGTTGGATACAAAGAGTGACCTCGAGGTTTCGAGGTCACAAAGTGGAGAGGTTGGGTATCGATGTTAGCAGGGAGATCAAAAGGTTGTGGTTAAGTTCTAGGGACCTTATTAGGCTATGTGCAGAAGGGGGAAAGAATCCTAGTAGGATGGAAAATATAGCATGCTAAGGAGAGCTCGGATATCTGTTTGGTTTTCTTTCTCAGCAAGGACTTTCTTGGTTATCAAGACATCCACCTTATATAAGGTTAACCAGGTTCTATGTTATCAAGATCGCATATATACGCATTAAAGTTTATATATCGCATATTATTCTCGAACCAATTCTAATTTGAGCATTGAAGTGTATACGTCGGGACCCCCTGATGAGAATGAATGTTCGGACGCCCTTAGACAACAATAATCGAGAGTTGAGGCGACTGCACGAGACCGAGCAAAGGCCCAAAAAGACACGCATATTATCGTGGAGACGTACAAGACTGCGATACGCACAAGCACAAGCAGGTCGACACGGGCGCGCGAGCCAGTGGCGACGCGAGCCAGTGCGTACGAAGTGGCTTGAGCACGCGCACAAGGCGACGCGACACCGATGGCGCGCGATGCAATGGCGGACGAGCATGATGCAATCAAGTCACGGTCGAGGACCTAGCACGGGCATGGCGCACAAATGCCTGAAGACGTTCCGTGAGAAAGCCTCCGGAGGCGTGCGTGGACGTGATGCGCGAACGCACGATACGAGCCGCACGAGTTGAGGGTCGAAGTTTGAAGATTAATATAATTATTTCTAGTTAGTTTATTATTAAATTAAATAGTCTTAGATTAGTTACGTGGACTTATTTAGATTGTTAGTTTAGATGATTAGATATTTAATTAATTAGTTAGTGCCGTGAGTTTAGTTTAATTTAGTTAGGTGACTTGTTAAGTTAGGATATCTATTTATTTATTAGCAGTGCGTGAGTTAGTATAGGTTGTTAGGATTTATTAGCATGTGAGTTTATTATTACTGTTAGGAATTTTATGTATTTGGTAAGTATTAGCATACTAGATATTTATTAGTTTTTGTTAGATTAATATTTAATTCCTATTAGGACTACTATAGATTTAGGCTTTGTTTGGTAAAACTAGCTGATAAGTTAGCTGACAGCTGATAAGTTAACTTATAACTTATTTGTAATTTTTTAGCGTATAGCTTATAGCTTATGACTTATAGCTGAAAAGCTAGCTTATATGATAAAAGTGTTTGGTAAAATTAGCTGATAAGCTATCTGAAATAAATAATTCAACTAGCTTATTTGAGAAGCTACCTAAAGTAGCTTATGAGATAAACTCGAGCTTTTTAAAAAAGCTCGTCCTACCAAACGAGACTTATTTGAATACAAGGAACTTACAAACTAACCAAATAAACTATAAACTAGCTTATTTAACTTACCAAACACAGCCTTAGCCTTATTTTTCTATAATTAGGTCTTTGTATTCATCATTATCTAACCAACAATGAAATAAAAGAAAACTGTTCGCAAAAACAAACCTTGTGTGTTAAAATTTGTGAGAGTTTTATCATACATTTGTGTTCGAACAAAGGTCATTAGTGCGTCTTTCGTCACAAGCCGAGAAGAAAGACCGTTAGCGTGCCCTTCGAAGCATCTATCGTGGAGAATCAAGGCGTTGGGCGTGGGTTCGAAGCAGTCAAGATACACGATCTTCATCACCCTTTCCCGGCGCCTTGTAGGTTGCGGGAGCTCGAGGAAGGCAGACGTTGCAGGATTGACCAAATTAAAATATTAAGATCGCCAACTTGAAAAGACAATGATGGCTAAAATAGTAAATGTTTGGAGGTGATTGTTACTTTTTCAAAACATTCTTTATTCTCGTGAATACGAACCTTATTATTGTTGTGAGTTGATTTCATTATGATTTGTTTGCTTTAGTGTGACGGTGCTTATACTTAATTTTAATTGGGGAATGAGATATGCGTTTATAAACGTTCTTTTTTTTTTTTCAGTGACTTTCTAGTTTCTACATTGGTTTACCTGATGTAGAATTTATTTTTCTTACTTTTTACATCGGTTCCTTTATAAATTGATGCAAAAAGTGATATTTTTGTTTTATGTCATATTTTATAGCCTCGGTTGTAATAATGACTCATATAAGAAAGCGTCTTCCATTGGCAACTTACAACACATTCATTTTGCCTCGCCAAAATTAATAATAATGTCACATTTAAAAAAGTGTCATGTATTGAGAGTTAATGACGTTGAAATATTGAGTCACAAAAATTTTGCAATAGTAACGCACTTATAAAAAGCGTCATGTATTAAAAATTACCTACGTGTAAGTCTTGGATCATGAATAACTTGGTGATTTCAATCTTAACAGCACAACTAGTGACACTTTTAAAAGTGTATGTAAATATTTTGTGACCCTCATTGAACAAAAAAAAGGCGTCATATATGCCTTTTTTTCTTGTAGTAGTGAATATAACCAATAATGTTGGCAATATTATTAAAGCTACAAATATAATAAAATATATGAATATATCTAAATTTTAATACTGAGTATGACAAAAAAAGTATTTTCATAATTTTTTTTAATTATTTGCATTTTATATTTATTTTACAATTTCGCAACAATAAATTTTGTTTGTATGTATTTAATATTTATTGAACAAATGGCTTATAAATCAATATTATTGATCACAGATAACATTTTTNGGAGAGGATCCCCTCGATATAATAAAAAAAAAAGGGGGTATGATTGCATATTTTAGTCGTGTGAAAATGAAAATGTTAGGTGGAGGACCGGCGGGGGTCAAAAGTCACGCTTAAAGGTAATATAACTGTGTGCTTAGGCTAAATATTTATTTTGTGAGCGTAACTTGCGTAAGATCAAATTATGTTTAATTGTGTAATGAATTTTGGATTAGATAAATTATATAATAAATGAATGTTTATATAAATAGCTTACGAATTGTCATAATTCATATGAAGAAACTAACAAAATATGTATGCTGCATTTACGTTATTCCCTATAAGTCATGAAGTTGTGTCACAGTATTGCTGAAGAAAACATGTATTAATTTTCAATCTTACTATTAAAATGATATTGTCACCGTTAAATGACGAAGGTTTTCTCTATTTTATTTTATTTTTTTTCCTTCAAGTACAGTTACAAATTCATAAATGAAACAATTGACCGAACATAAATTCTAAGAAATCAGGATACAAACAACAGTTTTTCTATGAAGCCAACAGTTGGTTGCATATTAGAGCCAACCTTCTATATACAACAAATAAACCTACCATATTCTTTGATTACTTAAATAACACTAATATAATTTTATTAATATGGTAGGTTTATTTGTTGTATATAGAAGGTTGGCTCCACGATGGAGCCAACTGTTGGCTTCATAGCAAACCATGAACTAAAATTGATGATAAAAATCCTCAACATGGCTGCTGATCGTCCGCAGGCTGTAATAAAAGATCTTTAGTACTGTGGCAGGTCTTCCGGAGGTAGCTCGATCGACTCCGATTCCCCTTTTCCATTCTCAATCAAGAATGTCATTCCCAATCCCCAACTCAGATGTGAATCTATATGGCAATGGAACAACCAAACACCTGCATTTATTTAACTACACAACAATCAGCNCTACAAAAAAATGGTAGCCGTGGAGGTGTATCGGGTGGTCCTCGACCGCAAAAAATATTATATGATTTTATGAAAATGAGTTTTTAAAATTTTGGCTCAATCTACTCTTAATTTCTGGATTCGTTCATGCGTAAATTCATAGTTGTGAAAACCTGCACTAAATGGTTGTCCTTTGACACGAGAAATTGTGCATAAACCTTACCAAATGAAAATACAAGAGAGTTTTAAAGCAAAAACAAATTACCAAACATTGCGACAAGATCCTAAGAATTTTTTTTTTTTTTTAAAAAAAAAAAACGAACTGTAAAAACTGATCCAAACTGCTTCAAATTGTTGCCTCTATGTCCAGGTGCACGAAGGCGTCGCGGCGCGGCACGTCTTGCGCCGCGAGACTTGGGCTATCCTTGGTCTCTCTCGGGTCGTGATGGACATTGTGGCGCAATGTTCGCGCGACGCCCCATGTGCTGTCGCAGCATGGCAGGCCTCGCAACGCGAGGCCTGAACTTTCTCCAGCCTCTGTCAGGTTGTTATGAGTGTCGCGGCGCAAGGCTTCTGGCGCAACACTGTAGCTATCTCTACATTTTTTTTATGTTTATGTATTTTAATGTAATATTATTGATAAATTTTTATATAATGTGTATTAGTAAATATATTTATGATGTTAAATAATTTGTGCTTTTTATATATTTATGTATTATAATTTATTTTTTTAATATTAAAATAGTATCATATAATGAAAAATTTGCTAATCTATTGGTTTTATTAAAATCAAAAGTTTACACCACATTGGAATCACAAAATATACAAATAAGAACAACATAAATAAAATTCCGATGACTTAACAATTTTCGGAACACATGAATAATAAACTTATTCTAGTAGTCTTCAAAACCACCCACCAAAGATTTTTAAAAAACTTACCGAAAGAACCAAAAGTGTTATTGGCTTTTGAATTGATGAAGTTGTCTCGTGTTGATACATAAACATAGTATTATTATTTGTGTAACAAAAAATTATATAAAATTAAATATAGATATATATCACAATTTATTTGAAATAAACTTTATAAATTAATTCTCTCTTCCTTCTGATATGAAATATGTTTAGATTATTTGTAATGTATTTATTTGTATGAATATTTTACATATATTTTTATAACGATGGGATTGAATTTATTATCATAGATATACAAGTTATAAATAAATTCATAAATAACACATTAAATCATATAAAAAATTTAAAGTAAATAAATTAATTAAAACAACTATATTATTTTGTGACTAAAAAACTATATTATGTTGTGATGAAAAGGAAGTTTCATTGAGTTTCTTAACACAAATTTTTATTTTTCTTACATGTTTGTGTAGTGACTTCCATTAGTTTTGGGCATTCTTCTTACTTAGTTTTTGTACACTCTTCTTACATGTGTTTTCTTGGAGCAGTCAAACGGAAAACTGCACCCTTACATTAGTTTTTTACACTCTTACCATGTTTTGTTAGATTACAATTACATTAGTTTTGTACATTAGTTTGTTGTTTTTGTGTAGCCGAATTCAACTGCACACTTACATTAGTTTTTTACACTTTTTTCTTACATGTGTTTTGTTGGAGATTTTATTGGATGGTATAATGAGAGCCTTGCATTTATATTAGGATTGGATTTAGAGTTGGATATTTATAAATGAATATCAAAAAGTCAGAAGCAGAAAGACGGAGTTGGACTTTTGTCTGTTTCTTATGTCTCGAGTCTTGACTCATCATAAAAACAACAGTACACAAAAAGCAAAAAAAGATGGGAAAGGAAGAAGAGAGTACAAATGGACAAACCCAAACAAACATAGCAAGATGATACAAAAACAATTCTCAACAGTTCTCATACTTCCAAGTGCAGTTACAAAATCATAACTGATACAATTGACTGAACATAGATCTTAGACAATCAAGACACCAAACAGAACATGAACTGATCATAAAAATCCTCAACATGGCTGCTGATCATTTGCAGCTAACAATGTAGTAAAAGATCATTAGCACTGTGGTAGGTCTTCCGGAGGTGGCTCGATGGACTCCGATTCCCCTTTTCCATTCTCAACCAAGAATGCCATTCCCAATCCCCAACTCAAATGTGAATCTATATGGCAATGGAACAACCAAACCCCTGCATTTATTTAACCACACAACAATCAACAGCCAAAATTTTTTACAAGAAACTAAATAATCCCATAATAAAGATTGCATCTTTTTTTCACCTGGATTATCCGCCACGAACCGAATCACGGCCCACCCGCCAACCGGGACATCGATCGTGTTTCGAACCGGAGGGTCCTCCAAATTAAACCCACCCGTATCCCTTTCCGGGTCGAAATTCCCGAACCCTTGCCCAACTACGAAAAAATGGTAGCCGTGGAGGTGTATGGGGTGGTCCTCGACCGCGAAAATTGAGGTGCCCTGCAGCACGACCTGCACGCTCGACCCGTACTCCAGCCTGTACAGCCTCGTCCCGAAACTCGGCTGCCAAAGCCCCCGACTCACATTATTATTCTTCCCCGTGTAGTCAAAAGCCAATGGCAGCCTGCCCGGAAAATCTGTCGTGAAGACCCTCCCCTGCCCGGGAGTTCGTCCGTAGTGATAATAATAGGCCTGCAGAAGGGAAGTCGTGTTCGGGAGCACGAACGAGACGTTGTTCATGCTGGCCGCGAACCGAGTCCCATTCGGGCCCATGCACGTGGGCCCGCCGGGCGGAGTGCAGTTCACGAGCCCTAAACCCACGGTGAAGACGAGGCTCTCGTCGACCCGGGTCGGGACGACGACCTGGGTCGATGACGTGGCGGCGCCCCGGAGACTTGTCGTGAATGATGTGGCGGAGGACGTGTCGTTGAAAGCGGGGAGACGGGGGAAAACGGGTTGACGGGTCATGGTGCCCGCGCCCGAGTATTCGAGGATGGCGGTTGTGGTTGTGTTGTCGAAGGGGACGTTTGGGGCGGAGGCGTAGGCTCGGGCGGCTAAGTAGTAGAGGGCGGGGGTTTGGTCGGCCGTGAGGAGAACGTCGGTTGTTTGGCCGGGGCCCAACATGATGAAGTCGGAATTCGAGGGCTTGGTGTAGGATGCGTCGGTGGATACGACGGTGAGGCGGTGGCTGGCGACTGAGAAGAAGAGTTGTTGGTTGAGTGCGGCGTTGATGACTCGGAGGAGGATTTTGTCGCCCGAGTTGACTCGGATTTTCACCGTGCCTGCGGTTTTTTTGTTGTTTGTGTGTTTGGATTCAATAGTATTGATAGTTAGTTTCTATGAAATACAATGGCTATAAATGAACCTGAAATCGAGCTCGGCTCGTTTATCACTAATAGCGAGCTGAGTTCGATGAGCCGATCTCGAGCTTTAATGAGCCAAACTATAAAAAATTATATAAAAATTCTCTTTTTGAGCATTATAAAGCCAAGCCAATCTCTACTAGTTAACCAAACGAGCTTTAATTGAGCTCGAGCTCGGCTCGTTTGGCTTGCATGAGAATCGCAACCGAAAGCGCAAGTTGCTAACACTCACTTTCTTGATTGCAAACACTCACTTAGTTTTCACCTTAGAATGTCTCATTTTCTTGATTGCAAACACTCACTTAGTTCACTTCATTCAAGAGAAATTCATAAAGCTACTACTTTTATCTTTGTTCTCTTTGCAAAAGAATACGACGACCTTGCAATCGTCATACGAGCCGTTTTTCATCGCTGTGATTGTGAAATGCAAGAATGGTTTTGTTGTGAACAGAACACAAAGACAAAAAAGATTGTGTTTTCACAATTTTCCCATCCAAAATCTCACAAAAGAGCTAAACCATTTTTGACCTCACCTTGGCTTGAGCATCTGTAAAGATCGCCAGGTTGACCGTTGATCGTGTATGCATCTGAAATATTCGGAGCTGCACCCGTAACAACGCCTGCCTTAAAACGTCAACAATGTTCCGGTCCCACCATTCCCCTGCTTGGCATATTAGAACATCGTTAGTTAAAACAACAACTAAAACCCAAAAAAAATGAAACAAACATCACACAATTAGTAGTAATGTTAAAGTTTTTTACCAAGAATAAGAGGCACGTCGATTTTGGGAGCTGGGAAAGGATAAGAAGCTCCAAACTTGGGGTAGATAACAAGCGCCCCATAAACCGTGGCTCTTAGCCATTTGCTGTGCGCGTGCCACCACAACGTGCCTTCTTGATCCTCTATCTTGAAACGGTAAGTGTAAGTCGAGCCGGGCTTTATGGGGCATTGGGTCACGTATTCGGGCCCATCGGCCCACGGAGTCCTCATCTGACGTATTCCATGCCTGACGAATGATAATTAATTAGTACAAGTTGGTTTTACTACTTTTATACTTAATAGAAGTAACCAAAATAACATTCGATTTTTTCGTTCTGTTTTACGTGTTACCAGTGGAGAGTAACATTGTACGGAGCCTTGTTGGTGACTTTAATGACCAACGAATCTCCGTTTCGAACTGCGATTGTGGGGCCCGGGAACTGCCCGTTTACCGTGATTATGTTGCGAGTCGAGCAGAGCCTCGTTATCGATGTTTGTTCGACCTGTTTTAGGTGGCAAAGCAGTTAGTCAGTAGAGATAAAATATGGGNAAATGAGAGTTTTCTTTCTTGGAGATTCATTTACAGTGAAGTCATGGTAATGAGTCTCTGCATGGGCTAAAGATTCAGCAAAAGAGAGTAATATGCTTAAAAGGGAAAGTAAGAATGTAGCAGCATTCATTTTCTTGGCTGAGGTATTTTTGCTTCAGTTTGTTGTTATATTGACTAGTTTTTGGGATTAAGGTTGTAATAAGTGGGTTTATCTATTTATACTAAGAATGAGAAGGGATTCAAAGAAAAGATTAACTACTCTTTTTGTTTACAAGGATAATTACTAAACCACCCCTGGGATTTACTCATAAATTTGGAATTATTTTAAAAGAATTTTACTGTACATCCAGGCGTTTTTTGGTTGAAGTAGTTGAGACTGAGAAAATGATGAGTTGAAAATGTTTCAAAAACATAGTCCAACTACACTAAAGAGTTGGTGCATCCACTGGTTTGATCAGTTTATTATTTATAAAATGTAACTAATGAAAGTCATGTATTTGTAGATCTGATCAACTTCTGTCCTTGTTGTCCCAAAAAAAATTCATTTGTGATTGAAGTAGTGAAAATAAATTTAGTAAATCGTGCTTTTTTTTTTGCATGTAAATCACAACATGTTGTGTCAAATACTATACATCCTAGTTATTGAAACAAACCTTAATCTCTTCTTCATCTTTTTTACTGTAGTTAATTAAAGTCATGACTCTGATTTTATTGGTTGGCCATTTATTGGCATTAATCCTACTAAAAAAAGTGCACAAAGAGCTTACTTAATGCAAGAGTACTGTCTCTTTAAAAAAAACACAAATTCTTGTAATAGATGGTCTAACGGTTAAGCGGGTCGACTCGTCATGCTTTATTTTTAACAAAAATGCATATTTATGCTCTGAACAATCATACTTTTGATATGTTATTTTCTACTATATACGTTTCGGGTTGGAAGTATGCATAGCTGTTGAATAAATATAATTGGTTTGAATAAATATAATTGTTTTAACTGTTATGACTGTAGCAACAGTGTTGCTTAAAGAAAAAAGGAACAATCAACAAATTGACGAATCTGAATGCAATCTAGATTAAATGGAACCTAATTGTTGATAATTTTAATAAACTGAACTCACTTTTGGGTTTAACCTTAGAACATCAAATTTTACACCTATACCTCAATGAGAAAGAAGGTGATCAGATTATCAAATTGAATGGTTCAGTAACGTGGTGTGTTAGGTGAATGAATGAATTAGTGTGTTTAGGTGAAGTTTGTGGTGGTTTTTCTTCCTTTGGACTTAAGCAGGTCAAATAGTAGTTACCAGTTCTAGTTCTAGGTATAAACTTTATAGACTATCACAAACAGTTACTCTAATATTTCATTGCAATAAGAAAAACTAAAAATCTAGAGCTATTAATGAATACAACTCGACTTGGCTCTGAATTCTTGAGCTCGACTCATTCATTTACTTATACGAGTCAAACTCAAACAACTAATTGAATTCATATATTATACTAGTGGAGCTTAAATTGATGATGACCAACTTGTTTTTAAATTTTGTTTATTTTTTATGAATTTTAAATGAAACTTGTGGAGCCAAACTTGGTCACAAGTGGACAAGTGGACATTTCGTATTAGTTAAATGAGCTAACCTTAACTTTTCACATTTTCACAAGATTAAATGACCCAAGCCTTTGACTCGTTTATTAAACAAGCACAAACACGAACTTAACTTTTTACATTTTCACAAGATTAAATGACCCAAGCCTTTGACTCGTTTATTAAACAAGCACAAACACGAACATGATATATTCTGCTCGGCTCGAACAACACCGCTGTCTTAATCACTCAGACCATATATTTTTTCATTCTCTTCTTAAATTAACCGAGTACAAAATTTTAAATCCCAGATGTGCCGCCAAAACCTCACACATTAAGCACCACACCACACCTTACTATTCAATTCACTTTTGAATAACAAAAGGAAAACAAATAAACTTACGAACTCAAAAGTTACAATACAAGCAAATTCTGAACCAAGCTCAAAAGGCAAAAGCTATATGTCATCCAATTTCTGGCATTCCAGATCAAATAGTAGCACAACTACCAAGTAAAAACCAAACTACAAAAGAATTGCAACAACAAAAAGGGTTGAAAATGGTTGTTGCACAAACAAACAAACAAGAATTCAACCGAGCTCCACAAATTAACCCAGAAGTTTGTTTTCGACCTACAACTGAAGCTTAAGCCCCTGCAAAAATTTAATCTTCGATTCGCATATTTTGAGGAACTCGGAAAGTAAATTGCCCTGACCAGCAGTAATCTTCCGGACAACTTCGGCAGGACTCCACGACTGAATAGCCTCGAAAATCCTATCACCGACTTCGACACTCTCCACACGCGTCAGGCAAGACTCGACCATATTGAACACTTTCCCGGGCCCACTTTGCCTTTCTTTACTCTGAATGGAGGAAAATATGGGATCAAACTCCGTATCAAGTTTGCTGAGTTGTTCTTTCAACCATTTTGTCACCATTTCCAGAATATCACATAGGGAGCCGATTGAGAGCTGTATCTCGTGCAACAGCTGAGAATTCAATTGCTCAACGGGCCCACCTTTCTTCTTCTTTTTCCCCGAAGGCAGCAATGACCGAACGCATGATTGGATAATTAGGGCATGCCAGGCTAAGGGCTCGGTCACCAGCTGTGCAAGAAACGAGATATCATTACCAGGAGCAGAAGCTGTGGGTCCCGCAGATTTAATCGTCTCGAGTACATATTTGCTCAGCAGATTATTCACAAGGTTCCAAGTACTGCTTGTGGCCTCGTGAGAATTTAGATTCCAGGCATTCAAGAAAACGGTGAAATTCATCCAGTCGATGATATCAGGATTTGGTGCCTGTTAAGTTGGCATTGTTAATTAGCTTCGAAAGTTTAAAGAAAGATATGTCTTGCAGAACAATGAACCACGTCAAGTAACGTTATGAAGTTTATAAATATAAAGGTAAATAGCCATGTCAATAATGTTGGGTTATTATTTATTAACCAAATGGACCAGAAGGATTTGAACCATATCTAGACATATCATTATCTAAGATTTAATTTGATTTCATTTTAATTTAGTGGTAGTGGGATCTCCATACTGCTTTACTTTCCTGCCACAGATTAAGTGAGATATATATAGTTGGCCAACACAAGGCGAGTTTGTTGTGGATTGATGAGAAGTTCGTGCTTTGGCATTTACAAAATGTAAATTTGATTTATCAAATCTAGGCAAATACTATAGAATGCCTTTAATGTGCTGCATCAGAATTACAACACCTTCAAACACTTAGATGTAAAGTACCACGCAGAAATGCATTAAATTTCAATATATTTACTAGAAGATACACCAAATCAAGGTCAGGCAAATGCATCAGTTCCCAAACACAAAGGCGATTTTTCATTACTAATGAAGATAATATGCATTGTTCTTTAAGATGTTCCATGAAGATTCAACCTTATCATTTCTTTTCCTTCTATCATTTATTCTTGCTGAGCTATTTCTGTGAATCAGAAAAAGGAACAAAAACAAAAGAAAAGGTAAAAAAAACAAATAAAACCTATTGCCTCGTCCAAACCTAAAAGATGTCTATGGCTGAGCTATGGCCGCCACTAAATAGAAAAACACCAAAATAATAGGATAGTTCACTGTATGTGAAGAACATACCTTCAAATTAGTGTTGCCACTTGAAACCCCAAAAACATATTCTACGGCATCCTGGAAAGGAAATTCCAGGATCTTAGCATAGCGGTCAAGTAAGATTTTCAGTTCCAACGAGTGTTTAGGATCAACTCTCGACCCGTTGGCTTCAATAGTTTCCTTCACTGACGATGAAGCAGAATATATTGACAAATAGATCATCCGAGGAAGCAGAGACCTCTTTTCTATGGTTTTCATAACATTCGCCTCTGTTTGCTTGATTTGATTGTGCTGCAATTAGATATTTATTAAACAATTTGTAATGTCTTGGAACAGACGCTTTTTAATCAATTCAAGAAAATATCAAGTTCAGATACTGCGTGCAATGAGAAACAGAAAAGATATCCGGAACTCAAAAGAAAACCTCCGCCAGAAAAAGAAGCAGGAGGAAAAAGGACCAGAACGCAGAGCAAAGACCAAAAGACTCGTATCAAAAGACTTGGTGACAATTAAATTGTTTTATTATTCCAATTTGACAAAGATTCAGAGTTAGAACGTCGTGAATGCACAAAAGGCCTGTCTTATTAGCTGAGTTAGCATCACACAAAAAAAATAAGGAAGCAGCTAACAAGAAAATTAATCAAAACTAGGATCCCATAAGAAATCCAACAATTTCTTTTACCTAAAAAAAACGTACAAATCCAAAATCACTACACCATCAAAATCCTTACACCAAAGAGCATTTATTCCAAAGGAGTAATTTGTTGTAATGTTATCTTCTTGATGCATTCAGATCGGATGCAATATATATTTAATTTGAAACTTACTCCAGAATGCATGTAAATGATTAAACTCTAGAAATATATTGAACATGAAGTCGATAGGCAATATTACCATGTTTTCTGCTGGATAATAGGAGACTCCTTCAAAGGGTCCTGGAGAAAAGGAAACTTTGCCATTAGATGTAGTATTTGATAAAAACAAGCAAGCAACATAATAGCAATTCGACAACATAGTTCTAGGCTGGTTGACACAACCAGAAAATTTTATCCAAGGCGAAAATTATCACCAGCAGGAAAATATTAAGTACTTGGATAAAGCAATGGAACAATTACTATAGTTACAAAATTGTCATGTGTGAAGTACCCAGGAGATAATTTTTGTCATAAGTCGGAGTCCACCAAGGTCGCAACTTCAAGTCTTCATTAAAAGTCAATGATTTGCTTCTGATCTCATTTGACAGCTCCACAAAGTGAATTCCAAATTCCAAACTCTCCAGGATGCGCTGTCAAATATATTATGTTCATAAATATTTCATAAATTATGTTAGAACCAGCTAAGCAATTAGTCGGATGATCTTGAAAATAACTGGAAAAGCACAAAGGCACAACAAAGATACCTCCTCTTCATCAATTTTATCAGAGTGCTGCTTCAGCTGTAAAACAGGTGATTCAATTTTCGCCATCAAATACTGACTTGAGCGCTGCAGTCTTTCCTTAAATTGCACAAATTCGATCGCCTAAGAAGGTAAGGGAGATGAATTATTTTCTTTCACATGGCACATTCAGCAAAGACACCGTAATTTAACCATGAAATTGTTATCATAATCAAAATGATTACTTGTTAACGAGAGAAGATTAACAGAACAGTTTAATGATAGCATATCACTAAACGCAACTCAAGTTAGCAGACTTATTGTTTATTTATATGTCTATACCAACTAGTATTTCACAGTAGTGTTAAAATACTGAAAAGTAGCACATTTGAAAGCATTTAGCTTACTTTTGAATAGTTCCTATGGCGATATGCAAGGAAAGTAAGATCAGCCGATTCTCTGAAATGATCATCCATGAACTTTAAATACTCCCTCAAAAGATCATTTGTATCTTCCCACAAAAGCGATGACAACATCTGTGGCAAAATGTGATGTGATACCGTCTCCAGTAAAATATTCTTCACATCCAAGGACTTATAGCTACAAAGACAAAAAGGACTCAAAATTAGGATACAAAAACAGTAACCAGAAAAATAACCATCGGAAATAATAATTCAGAGAGAGCAATAATAAAAGGATTAGATTTCTGCCTACTATTTTACCGTTCATAAGCTAGTGGAAGAGAATTCCAATAAGAATACAGATGCACCAACGAAACTTTATATTGCCAGACATATCTGCAAGAAACAGCAAAAATTGTCAGATTTAAAATGGAGTACTTCAATATTTCTCATATCTACATGCATGTTACGGAGATTTCCAACAATGTTTAGTAGATTTCAGCAGAAACTGCCTGCCTACATTATGCTATGTTAAAACGTGTTATATCAAGGAAACACAATTTCAAATCCACAAAAACAGTTTGACGGAAACCAGCCCAGCCCTAGTGCGTGTCAAAAAGATATTTTGATGATCAAAAAAATGAGCGGAAAAACAAGACAGGGGTGTTCCCTTTTATCAAAAGACTTCAATAGGATGGATGCTCCAAATAAACAGAAAGAATACAATCCTTTGGCACTATAGAACATCACGACTAACCAGTGTAACTAGATTTTCAACTGCTCACTGCGGTACAATATGTAGATATTGTACACTACTTTTAGAACCCAAATATTCCAAATTGTCAATAAATTAGAACCTGGCTGTTAGTGTTACCATCGATCATAGAAGAAAAAATTCTGATTTATGCCAGCTTATCCTCACTTTTTCAAGAAAAGAACTTGAAAGTTCTCCTCTTGAAGCAATTACTCCTCTACACGTGACGGACAAGTGTTTTCATGTACTGAACTCAATGGAGTACTTTCCCCATGCCACCCAATGATTCATCATTAACTGCTCTACTTAGTGTGTTCGAAAAACCGAATAACATTTATCACAATAATTCTTAATTCAGAAAATAACACCATCACAGTGATTGGTTTGATGCATCCTGCAATGCTGATTCTCTGAATAAAGCAATGTTTCCAAATTCCAGACGACATCATGAAATGAAAACTGTTGTCATGAAAAGAGATCCATGCCACTATGATTATAAATAGCAGATTATACTGTCCATCCATCCATGCACATTGATGCAATAATTTTGCTACCTTCAATTCTGTTTGGCAATGTGACTACCAACGCAATAATATCCACATTCTTAACTCCTAGGGCAAGTGACTTCTCTAAACGACACAAGCGACAAATCATTCATGAACCATACAATCATCCAGACATTATGGAATACATGTTAATTCGTTTTCCTATCATCAGAAGAAGCTTATTGTTCAAGAATAACTCATCAGTAAAACATATGAAAACTGAAGAATGTTATCCCCATGCAACCATTTCTCAAAAATTACTCCTTTCATCATTTTCACATCTATGAACACTCATTTAGAAAGAGAATCACTTTTCCTCTCAGTAATTCGGTCACCACAAAGCGAGAGAGAGAGAGAGAGAGAACAGATCAACTGAATTGATGTACCAATCAATCAATCAGCAAAAGGAACTGCTAACCTCCGGATAGTCAGACCAAACTCCAGAATCATAATAGACTCCAACAAATATCCGAGATCCCGCGTACGCCAGAAAAGCTAAGCAGCAAAANGGAATGAAGGATGGAAAAGGTATCAATTGAAACATAACTTGCAAATCTTAAAAACATCACAGGGCCTCCACAATAACAAACAAAACTTATTTTCCCCAGATGAATAGAAAGATCATAAAAGTTATACGACATATCAACCATATCCAAACCAGTATGATGAAGTAAAATACATGTGGATTTTCAAAATAGGTGAATATGACAGCTAAAGTGATGCTGGGTCTTTTCAAATGAATTGGTTATTGATAATAGTCACAATCCCAAACAAATACCAACAAAATTTAAGCATAATTTTCCAAAATACAAAAAACAAATAAGGTATACATCCTGGCTGTAAAGACTGTCTGGAAAGAATACCTTCATCATAATCATTAACATTGCCAAAGGTTACTTTCATTTAATCCATGCATTATCACATCTCCAAATGCTGAGCATGATAAGAATTGTAGAACTTGAAATCAAAATCAACCAGTTAAACCATGATGAGTGGATGACCGACCACAGATATAACATTAGAAAGGAATACAAATTTGTGAACATAAGGTAATACCTGAACCAAAATTGTTGATGCCATCGACAAAAGCTCTTCACCATGCATACTCTCCTGTGCATCTAACTCCTTTGACAGTGGAAGGTTCGTACAGAACATTTCAGCCATTCTTACAGCAATATCCTCGAGTTCTATCAAATACAATTAAAGTAAGTTATAATTGCCACCAAAGGCATCAGCACACATAAGATTTGTCAGGATTAACTGTCTGTCTTTTAAGCATTTATATAACAAAGGAGGCACGCAAGTTCTTTTGGAGAAATGCTTCAAAAGTATGAGACGCCTTTTAAAAGGCAATTGACAAAAATTCACATACCATCCACTTGTAGAGCAAACATATCACCAATGATGTTCTGGACTTTGAATATAGTTATGGACTGTCCAAGCGCTTTAGTTGGTGCACTAACACTAGCTTCATATTCCTTCACTAATTTCTTCAAAAACTCACTTTTCTTATCATTATCGAGAGCTTGAAGAAACATCTCAACATCTGAAGTGTAACATGCCAAGTGGCCAAATCTGTTTCAGAGTATCATGTGCCAATAACATGATTATAAGAAGAATAATCAGAAAGTGTCATGAAATGATTACATATACATATCAGATCAACTAAATGTAACTTAGCAGCAACTAAAAAGTTAGCATTTCCCTTGTTCTGCATTCTTATATTTGAAAATGTTTGGTTGAACTTGGTGTTGAAGTCCCATGTCTTGATTCATTCATAGTAGTCACAATGGAACATTTTTCTCAGAAAACTTAGGGCTTGAAAAATCAGTGAGCCACCATGATAAAGTTAGATCAGCACCCACATATTTACATAGAAGACTAAGATAAAATTTGAGAAAGAGTGCTGCAAAGCATTTAAGTGCAAATAATCCAATGAACACGAGTACAGGTGCCAACAAAGCAGTTCAATACAGGCATAATTATCAGGTAAAAATATACCTGACAAAATATTGCATTAGGTCCTCCACTACATTGTCAGCATCACCTTTCCCAAACAGAATCTTTTGTCTTTCAATTTCAAGGCGTGCCAAAAACAGGCATCTTTCAGATTTATTAATTTCCTCAACCATTAATTTCTGTATGAAATTCACTGCATCTGACATTCGAGAATCAAACTGCAAAGAGAAACTAAATAAGTCATGCCCCTAGAAAAGTAATTAAGCACTTAAATGGAGAAGTAAGAATTTACATGTTCCTCAGATATTTGCAAATTCGTGCACCGAATAGAATTTGGTATATTCATGGGATCAGCCTCTTTGACAAAGATGCTGGCGTCCTCCAGAAGGCAGCCAATATATTGCAGGAAGCATTCCCAGTCACCAGGACTAAGAACAAAGGAAAGTAAAAATAAATTATCAAAGATCAACTATAATTTGTACCGATAGCACCAAAAAAGATGATGAAATGATAACTTGAAAATGAGATTGCACAAAAATACAAGAATTAGCATAATGTTAAACAAGGTTCAAACAACATAAATCATGACTTTGCATACTGCCAAAAGCCTAAGCAAAGGCCAACCGCATCTTCTAGAATCTGCTACACTTCCAGATGAAAATAATGGGTCTATAAAGTTCGTTATTAGGATTTAAAATTCAATTTAGATTCATGCAGTGAGATTATTACCACTAAATTTGAGAAAAGACACAAAACATCAAGAATCTCAAAATGTTCCAGGTGCAAACATAGCCAAACAAAACTTCAGGTTTCTACGTAATGAATCAATACGTTCAGTTTCCACTTTGGAGATAAAGCCATATTCAAATTAACATCTTTAGTTCTAATATCAGTAATCAATACATAATGTGAAAAAAAAAATGTTAAAAGTCAAGAGAAATAGAAATTACTCACAACCAGAGTAATTATATATATTCAGTGATCAGTGTTTTACCTTGCTATAGGCGCCTATAGCAAATACCAAAAATGAAGCATAAAATCTGCAATTATATATTTACAGGTAAAACTCCAAAGATACTCAGACTTAAAGTTTATAAATTTTTCATTCAACTGATGCCACATAAACTTAAAATAGTAAATATTTAATACATCAAAATACAGGCTTAGAGCCATACTGCCATAGCATAATATTGAAAGATGGAAACTCAAACACATAGCATGCACATGTTGACTGATGAAGAAAGTATTGGCAATACAAAACAGAACGAGTGAGACTAAAATCATCCACCAAACTGACAGTGTAAAACGCATACCAGAGTTCTAAGAGTTTCTGAAATACGTCGGCTGCGGCAGCATAGTCTCCAGCCTTAGCAAGAAGCCTTCCCTGTCGACTTAAAATAACATGAACAGGCTTAAATAAAAACTAACAGAAAATACTGGCACACAAAATTTGTATTAACGCAATATACAAGCAAAAATACTTAATGGAAAAAATGTTTAATCACAAAAACTACTTGCAGAGAGTGATGTGTATCTTACAGCTAACAAAGATAAATTTCACACTTAACTAGTAATTATGTAAATAAAAGGACGCAGCTCTTTAGATACACTGCCATAAGAGAATATCCTACAAAGTACCTGTAGACGTAGTTTGTCAACTTCAATCATCATTAGAGATCCTAAATTTCCAGAAAGAATCTCCAAAGCATCACCATACTTGCACTGTTGCTCCAACAGAGATATATAGACACTAAGAGCTGCATCATAGAACAGTTACTTTAGTGGCTAACCTTCAAACAAAAATGAAAATCTCCTCAAGCTTACCTATATACTACTGATAAAAGTTAGAATAAGAAGAAAAGTAACAAGAAGATGAAGAAGAAAAAGTTGTAAAATAACCTTCTGGCTCATGCAAACCATGCGAAGCAATATGTTTCTTGAGCAAACCTTCAGCTAACTGGAAAAGTTTATTTCCCCCATTGCCACAACAAACCTGTCCAGTTCAAACAGATAACCTAAGAACTTGCAATTATCAGCAGAAGAAATATGCTATTATAATTAGGTTTACAACATCGCAATGGGAAAACATAATTAAATTCAAAGATCTTTGGCGTGTCAATTCCATTTTCAAATACAGATGCTTTCACAGGCTAAAATATGTGAAAATACCACGTCAATTACAAGATAGAAAATTAATTACACCCCAGTTGGGTTACTGCAGCAAAGACAGTTTCAGCGCCAAATATGTGGAGTACTCGTGCTCAAGTTGTTACATATATGAAACTAAATTATAAGATACTTTTGTTACCAATCAAAAATAATAATAATAATAATAATAATAATAATAATAATAATAATAATAATAATAATAGTAAGATACTCTTGTTACATAGGGCACATTAGAATGGTGAACAGAAAGTTTGTTTGGTTCTTCAATTATTTTTATGAGAAAGGACGGGATCAGGTCACTGCAGTATTGGTGTAAGTATTCCAGTAAAAATATTCTTCAACAAATCCTAATCATAAGATGATCTTCTTCTGTACCATAATTGGCAAATTTAAGTTTTTAGCATTTCTCAATTCTCTGATTCATCTAGTTTTATTGGGATCAGGCATGATGGCACTTGATTTAATTAGGCCCACAAGTTATGTTTCCACGCAACAAAAGATTCAGGCAACAAACTTCTAAATTGTTACCAGGGGCAATCAATGTATAGTTAACTTGCTTCAGAGCCTTATAGATCCAGTAACCTTTAACTCATAATGGAGGCAAAATTCTTAAGTACTGTGGACTAATAGGTCATAGACCCATATCAGTATGCCCCAAAAATCAGGACAAACTATATTAACTGAGAAGGAACGCGAACCTGCAACTGGATGCTGCAAACTGCCCAGAGTAGGAACCTTTCTTCACCAGCAATCTTGTACATTTTAATAGCTATCTACATACAGTAAGGGCCAATAAACAACACAAACTAGCTAAAAGATAATAAGGCCATTAGCACAATAACAAATGTGGCACAGCAAAAGCATTCCACCAACCTGTTGCTGCTTGACAAATGAATACTCTCTCACATAACAGTTAAAGAGGCCCATCATTAATTCCAAGCTGTTGGGGTATTTCATACATGCATGCTCATAACAACTTGTCGCCATATCCACTGCCATTTCAACACAACACCTCAACGCATATTCATCCGAAGAAGACACCACAACAAGCTGACTAGAACGATAAAAAGAAAAACTAACGGTGATCAAGGCGCTGAAAGACAATTTGCAACGTGCTGAGAGTGAGATCATCCCCGTACACGCTTGAATCACTGGTCAAAAGAATCTCTTTGGCATTTAAACAAACAGATAACGCTTCCTCATTCTTGCCCATCCTTTCCAGAATCAGAGCCTTCAGCGCCTGCAGAAATCGTCAAACGCAGAGCGATTAAAGCAAGATAATAAAAATGGAAAGCTACAACAGTGAGTGCCGATGGGACTCACGAGCGCATAAGGAGATTTGGGGTATTTGGAAAGAAGCGCGGTGGAGAGCTTTAGGGCGTTCTTGAACTGGCGAGAGTCAACGGCATCCCAAATGGGTCGAACACGGCGCTCCGGGATGCCGCCTGCTAATCCGAATTTCGACGCCATTGTTGAAACCAGCCAATGCAATTAAGAATCTCTGAACGGAGGCGCGGCCACAGAAACGGAGTTGGGGAAGAAGGAGAGCTGTAACCTAAGTGAGGCGAAGTGATGGGTGTAGCAGTGAGGGTTGTACCATTTGGCGAGGGCTTTAGGGGTTGGGGTTTCTCACGCTGGGGGCATTTATCGGAACAAAGGTACTATTACAATGTTCTAATTCTTAACAAAAGCTCAAAAGAAGATTAACCAATTAGCAACCGGCAGAGACAACAACTACTGAGATCAATGCTCGGTGATTAAACCCCAGCTAACCAAACAAACAAAAGGGTACTCACCACTATCCAAGATCCTAGTCAAAACCACTAAGGCTATATTTGGTTCAACTGATGGAAGGGGAGGGGAGGGATTTTAATAGAAGGGAGGGGAGGAGAGGGGAGGTGAGGTGATGTAAAATAATTTTACCTTGTTTGGAGGGATTTTGTAGGAAGGGAGTGGATGGAAAATAGTAAACCTTGTTTGGTTAGAATAATGGAGGGGAAAGAAAATATTGTAGAAATGACAATTATATCCTTAATGATGTAAGAAATAAAATAATTAAATAATTTATACATAAAGGATAATATAATAATTTTATGTGTTAAAAATTTTCCTTCCCCTCCAAATTTCCCCACTTTTGGAGGGGGGAGATTTTCCCTTGGAGGAGGGATTTGAAGGGAAAATACCAATCCTTCCTCCTACAAAAAATTGAACCAAACAAGGGAAAATTATAAAATTTCCTCCCCTCCCCTCCCCTCCCCTCCCCTCAGTTTCCCTCGAACCAAACATAGTGTAAGGAGAATCTCAACCTAAACACATGAAAAAAGCAAACAACCCGAGAAACAAACAACTTAACTAAACTAAAAATACAAAACAAGAAGGCAGCAACTTATCCAAACAACACTAACACCTAGAGCAGCTAACAGCAACATTTAAGAAACTAGACTTGCAGACTCCATCCAATCAAAACAAGCAGCAGAAACTACTTATTTCTCTGATATCCAAACAGCACTAACACCCGGCTACTGTTCATCAGGTCACACCAATTTAATGTTGATTAACAGACATTTAATGTTAACATGCTACACTAAGGGTCTATGGGGCATAGGTCTACAGTGGCGACGTGCTCATCCCATCGGCCATCATTTGCCTACAAGTTGGAGTTGGACTATTATAATATTTTCTTACTTCTGAGTGCTCTGGGGATTCCGACCTCGATAGGGCTTTGAGGTTGGATCTTCGATGACAATCTTTTTTCGATTATTCTCGATCTGAGTTTATGTCGTTTGGATGACCAATTTTCCCCGACTCCCAATAAGTTGGGATGTCGATATCGGGGTTTTGTTTATTCAGACTTTGACGTCCTATTATCTAAAAATGGGGACCCGACACGAGATTCGACTTTTCGTGGGAGCCCTTTTGTTTGGCCCAAGTATGGATTAACCCTGGGAATCCTCGTTTTCTAACTCGAATATCAACAAGAGCTTAATAAGATCCTAGAGAAGCTAGCCTCGTACGAGGGCGATGACAATGAACTAAAGAGACAAATCTCAGAGGTGAAAGGTGAAATCGGCTTGTTATGCATAGAAAATACAAATTTATCTGAAAATAATCAGTGGATTAAAGATTAAGACCGGACTCCTAACCTGTATATAGTTAGGATCCTAATTGGGCTGAAAAATTACAAATTTACACGTCCAAGTAGAAATAAAAAACAACAACAGAAACAAAACAAGGAAAAAACAACAACCAAAGCGAAGAAATATGAGCTTGGGCCGACTGGAGCCCAGGCAAGTAGTATGCACCACGAGTGGGCTAAAGCACAACAAATACAAAACAACTATCCAAATTTGAACGATGTGTAGCCCATCTGGTCCATTTGTACAAGAGTACGGAGTCAGAGGAGCGTCGTCAGGATGAAAAATGCGTCTCTGGGGTGTGGAGACACTAATGCAAGCGAGGAAGTATGCGGGTTAGTTCTCCTCCCAGAAGATGTGCAAGATCCGATAGCGAACCGATTGAAGATGTGCAATGTGCAATTTGTTATTTTGGCCATTTATATATCTTTGAGGGCATAACTACATTTGTAATGTTGGTCGAGGGACTTCCTGCAATTTAGCCTGATATTGTCATTTATTGATCCAATTTTAACACGAGTATATGGAGTTTGAGCATGGTTTCACTCGATTACAACCCTAATTTGGCCAACAAATTATACTATGATTTCCTTGATGATGGTGATGTATGTTGACTCCCTAAAAGAGTTTGGTTGTTGAATCGAGAAACTAATACAAATAATCTTCATTGTTTTTCGTGAATCAAATTTTGAAAATGTTGGGAGCCATTAGATATGTATTATATCGGTTATGATCCAACTTCAGCTTGATGAGTTAAAATGAAATATTCAGAATAAAGTAGTTTTAGAATTAAATAATATTTAAAATGTAATGATTAAAACTGATATGATATAAAAGTAGGAGAGAAATTATAAGTACTGATAAATAGTTAAAATTATGTAAGTGTATGAATACTAAATTAAAGTTGATGTGACGTGTGATAATGATTGATTTGTATTATATAATTATACTGATAAAAAGTATGAGAGTTAGGTTAAATAACATTTTAAATTAGGCGATTGAATATGACGTACTCAAGAGTTTATAATCAGCTGAGTTGAATCATAATTCATATCCAATCACGACTTCGGAGGGAAATTCAAGTAGAGCCAAAAGGCTAAAAACTTATATGTTAAAATCATAGCGTTGGAAGAATAATTTCTATAGAATAATTATTTAAAGTTCTATTGTCAATTTGGTTTAGGAGATAACTTTGACCTCTTTTGTAACACTTGTCGTGTCATCTAATTAATAGATGATAGTTATACACCATTGTCTAATTTCACCAAATTTATAAATATAATTGTGGTGTGCAAAAGACTAGGCTTTTACGACTTGGATCTGCTTCTTTACATGTTTGTAGACCTGTAAAATGGACTGGGAGAGGTTCTCGACGTGAGCACTCCGACGATTAAGTCAGTCCATAGTGATGAAATGAACAATAGATATAAGCTTTGTAAATATAAAGAGTGTAGAGTGTAAATAGACATTTCTCACCCCTTTTATACGAGAGTGTTACTTACCTTGTTGCCCAGGACTGTCCGAATGAGCTGCCCATCTGCCCGAACTACATGTTTGTACTGTCTGGTTGCCTGAACTACCCAATTATGTTAGGACACGTGGTCCAATCAATTTGTAGTTCTTATCTTAGTTAAATTCATTCTTATCCATTAGACTTCCTTGTTAGACGATCTAATCGTACAATCGACCCAATTTTCTATGAGGTACATGGTCTTTCACACTAAGCTCGTGTACTATGCTCCTCTGGTCGATCCATCGACCAATTATATCTTCGAGTTGAGTTTCTACAAGGTCATCCTAGGACCCTAGTTCAACATGTCGATGATCCTTTTTACCTGTGTCACCCTCGTCAACCGGAGGACTAGTGTAGCTCCTTCGACCTCCGTTCGACCTATTGGTTCACTTGGTTCGATTAGCTAGTTTCTCGGGGCAAGTCGACCCGATATGATATTCCATATCATCTACATCAACATTACTACTTGTATACTACCTAAATGATAAATGTACATCATTGTGCATATAAATTATTTAATAAATACTACTTGTATACTACCTAAATGATAAATGTACATAATTGTGCATAAAATTATTTAATCAAAAATCGTAGTGATGTTAAATATATTACATATTGATTAAAAATCATTCCTTCTAAACTAGGTACACAAAGTGCACTCAACCACCGTATAATTCATTTTGCAGATTTCCTAAGGCATCTAATTAATGTAATTTTCGGTAGTATGATTGTGGCATTGATTAGGAAGCCAACTACCTACGGCTATTCTATTTATTTAATTAATTTTTATGGTATCTTTTGATTTTGTGGATAAGCAAGACGGTTTGAAGTTGGCAAAATCCTTGTTATACCTTGAAAAGGATGGGAAAAAAGAGTGAGTCTTGCTGGTTTATAGATATATTAGCATTTGATTATTTGTTAATCAAGTTAATTTAAAAAAAAATATTATGATTAGTTTTTAGTGAAATTTTAAGTTTATATTAAAACAATATTAAAGTAAAATGAATAAAATTTATTTGATGTAAAAGTAGGAGATAAATGATTGGATGTGATAGATAGTTAAAATTATGTGAGTAGATGGATAATGAATTAAAGTTGATGTGATGTGTAAAAATAATTGATTACTATTATTTAATTATATTAATAATATTAAGGATAATGGAGGTGAGTTAAAGTTGATTTAAATGTCGAGTTTAAATTATTCTNAAACAAACTAACATAAACTGGGGGAACCGAGTGATCACTAAACATGAAGCGCACCATGAATGAGAAAGTCCATATGGAGCTCAAATGGAGTTTCATCTCAAAACCAATTGGTGGAAAAAATGTGGGTCTATTTTTTATGTATGAACAATATGGGACAACTCACAAGTGATATTCTAACACAAACAAACACGAAATAATTCAGAGGTCAACAAATAATTGGTACGTGTCTTTTGTTATATTGTACTTACATTAATCATGCTAATCAATGTATATAAATTACAATTCTGAAAATTTTGAGCTTTGTATAGTCGGTTTCCATACGCATGATAATTTTGATAATAATAAAAAAAAATATATAGAAATCATTATTTAATTACTTATATTTTCAATATATCGACTACTACAAATACAAACGTGTTTCCTTATCTATCATTATATTAAAAGATTAACCATTTAACATTTTTAGCAAGTTTTTTCCGCCAAATACATTTAATGTCTCCTAAAAATAGAGCAGCATTAAATGTTACCCTTAAATCATGACAGTTATTAATTTAGTTTGGAGAAAATCGTGGCAACTAAAACAAACAACATTAATTACGGCTGACTTAATATTTAAATGGTAAACAAATATTACTTTTTTATAACTGATTTAAATTTACGTCTGTTTAAAAGTAAAAAACTATATTTGTAATTTCAACAAATTTGTACTCTTTAATGTACGGCTGATTTAAAATTAAAAATTTATTTTTGTATTTTCACAAAAAGTCGTATAAAGAAATATGGTTGGAATAATAATAAAAAATTAATTTGTTAAACCATATTTTGCACTCATAGATATGAATTCTCATCAAATTCAAGATTTAAAATTGTGAAGAATGTATATATATGTGGACTGATTGAAGATATTTGATTCCTTAAATTAAGGAATTTTTTCCGGTAAAAAAAAATATAAACTTTAAATATAGATTTTATTAG